CTTTACAAACAGATGAAAAGCCTTGTGACATGGCTGGTCCCCTCTCTTTGTGTGTGACCCTGTATTGTCTCACTGTGGTAATGGCAATGGAAGGAGCAAGCAAGGCACTTCTAGGTGTTCAGTGCCTGGTAACTCTAACGTTACTAGGATTCATGCACTTTGCCTTCTCCTCTCCGGCTCTTTGAAGAGAGGTGATGGCTGTAGCCGGGGTTCAAAGTTCCACTGCTCTTTCAAGGGAGGGAGCAGAAAGAAGCTCAAAGGTATTAGAACACGGGTACCTACAGCAGTCTTGAGACCCATAGCATTTGTTACGCTTTTTCTGGTGCTAACAGGCAGGAGCCATGTGTGCTGCAGCCAGGGATAAGATTGCAAGGAACCTCTGCAGGCTGGAACCTGCTGAATTTCCTATCCTTGAAGCTGTTATTTTCCATTTTATCAATTCCCGGTGTGGTATCGCACTTGGAAATAGCCTAGAGGAACAAACAATGTAGTACATTGAAATGGAATGAAAACCAGGCAAAGGCATGGGTGAGGTGCAGCAGCTACCAGCAAGTATTGAGCTGCCTTGCTGAGGGCAGCATCTGAAAAAAATAAGGTAAAGGTGGAAAGGGGAGTGGAATTTATTATCTGGGTTCAGGTATGTCTACGTGGATTGAGCACAGCAGTGGAAAATGTGTTGTCTGAACACCCAGTCTCAGCTACGGTTGGTCAAATTCAGGTGAGGTGATATCAGGCGGTAGGTACTCATTGGTCCCCTCAGGGGAGAAGAGGAAGGTGGGGTTCTCCTGGAACTTCCTGGAAGTTGAAGGTTGAGTCACTCAGCTCCATTCTACTACAAGCAGTCATGCAATGTATGAGATTAGATATGTAATCTGTACGGTTGCTGAAGTGATAGATGAATAAAGGAGGCCGCAAAAGGAACAGAAACTTATTCAAATGAAATTGTGTCTGAAAGTGAGTAGAAAATACACTGCAGAAAATAATAGCATAATAAAAACTTTAAAGTTAAAGGAGCTGAAATGTTACAGACTCTCAATTAGTACTGCATTGCCAGAGCTGTTTGCTGGGCATTAACAATGTCTCCCTATTTCCTAGTGAATAAAAAGATATGTCTAAAATTTTCTAGATAAGACTGTCATATATTAGGAGATAACTTTGGAAAAGCTCTTAACTTCCAATTTTTTTCTCCCTTTTCTTTTAAAAAATCCTTTTTGGGTTTTTTTTTTTGACTCTCCAAAGTTTGGTGGGAGTTTGAGAACTTGTGGAGGTTTGAGTCCACCTAAAAAGATCATTTATATTCTAAAGTGAATACCAAAAATACAAATATTTCATACTACAAGAGCAGGGAAACTCCCTGAAACTTCCTTATCTCTGAAGCTAGAACAAGTTTCCTGTCTTCAAAAGCCCTGTTCTTCTTTCCGAATAGATATTCAAATTACAATATCCACGGTTGTCTGAAGGAACAAACTATATTCCCTAGAAAGTGAGCTACTTTTTTCCAGAGATATTCCTAATAATTCTAAAATACCTAGAAGTTAGCTGGGTATTTTCAAGAAATATACATGTAGTTCTTGTGCAGAATGATCTAATCAAAAGGCGTGAGAAGTGGACCACTGGAACTCTGGAGCATTCTGTTTGGTTCCTGGTTCAGCCACCAATCTTCTCATTTCCCCAGGCGTAAAATGGGGCTGATTTTTCCACAACTCAGGTTGACACTAAAAAAGCTGAGATCCTTATTTTTCCAGTATGGTAGGACAGGGGACTTGGGCTGCACAGACATAATTTAAGCCCGTTCATTGTCGTCCTTCACTGTGTTCCTGCTTGCCCTGCTATAGAAGGTGTTAGGAAAGTCACTACTACCTTTATTCCAGGTTATTCAAACATGAAGTTCTGATACAATGACAACTGATGCACCTGGGGAAAAGAAGCACAGAATAGAGCTCAGCTTTTTCATAATGACCACAGATCCTAAAATGAAGAATGCCAGGTAATGTTTTATCTATCCTAACCAGCTTGACTCCAGAAGCACCAAAGTTATACTGACCTAACTGGCTCTGTAACTGCCCTGAAGAAAGAGAATCATATGTAACTTCTGTGCAGTGATTCTTTGTAGTTACAGGACTGAAACACAGTGAGAACTTAGATGTACTTAGCCATAGATTTGTGCAATTATAGAAAAGGCTGTTCATGAGATTAGACTCCAGATGTATTTGCCTCAGACCCTGCTATTCTGAAATGTGCCTTTCTGAAGAACAGCCAAAACTACACACCCATGAAAGTTAAAAATCCCACCCTTTGGCTGAGACAGTTTTGAGATCTGCACTCTCACATTAGCCCACCTTCCAAGGAAAAAGGCTGCACAGAGATATCCTTTCTCTCCTGATGCTCCACACTGTCCTGTAGGATACTGGCACAACTGCATGCACTGCAGGTGAAAGGCACCCAGGAACTGTTGCGATGAAGCATGTTTCCCTGCTGTAAAGAGCCACATGTGAAGATAAAAGTCAATCCTGAAAGAAAACAAGACGACGATGCAGCAGACCTGGAGAGGAGCATGCAGCTCCAACACGTGGGGCCAGGTGCTGACTGTCCTGCACTCAGAGATGTAACTCACAGCTCTGGAATCCTGAGCTGGAATTTGCTCTGGGATATGTCACTGGCTCGCTGTGCCTGGCTGGCCGGCAGCCACAGGAAGAGCAGTGCCTCCTGGCAACTGAGAACGGCCGGATCAGCTTCAGGAAACAAAGTACTTAAGATTGGACATTTTCCAAAACATCTGGAGCAACCAGGCCTCTTACACCAGGCCTGCTTGTGATCTGGGACTGTTATACTGGTGTCCGTATATTCATAACTAATTGCTGCAGTGTATGATTCCTTGAGACAAATGTGTGTTGCTAATCCTTCTTCTGCATCTTTTGACTTCTTATCTCAATGAGCTCCTAATGGGAAGTGATGTAGGCCAGCACACAAGGTGTCTAGCTGCTGGAACTCACCTGCACTTTTAGTATTCATGTATCTACCTTATTATTTAGAAGCTGGTAGGTGTTTTTCCACCCTGCTGTGTCTTCCAGCCTCCACGGGAGCTAGTATTGATGTCCGTTTTTACTGGAAGTTTGCTTTCCTGTGGGCATCAGTCCAACAGAATTTATTCTGCACAGCCCAGTGTTTCCACAGGGTGTGCAGGGGCTGGAACTTCAGCAAGAAGAACCTGATTCATTTTTGCCATTCAGACTTGGTAAAATAAAGCTGAATACTTCTCAAACACAGCTTGCCTGACTAATAGCAGCATCCCACACTCAGGAGATTACATAGAGATCACAATATTGTAAGTAGCAAAAAAATGTGAATGAATATGCTATGAAATACTCATGACAGCCTTCTGAATACTGTCCACTTTAAAATACTGTGGTTAATGCTTGAGCAGATGCTATGCCTTCTTCTTGACTCTGCCAAAAGAATTTCAACCCTGTGTAAGAATGCTTGACCTCTATGAACAAGCAAAAAATAAGAGAAAAGCTGTGTGTTAAGTAGCATTTTCCTCTCTTATTGAGGAATTCCATCTAAATTTAAGCATTTTTGGTAAGTTAATTATTCATTGCAAAGAAAATACTACATGATATAAATAATGACAAGGGCCTTTATTGCTGTAGCAACAAGACACGGTAACTTTAAAATGCCCTCCCCAGAGATGGTTATTTAAAGAAAAAATGAGTATCTGTGAGAGTGAAAGAAAAGAGAGAAGTGGCAGGAGGGGAGTTACTCATAACTACCCATCTTAAAGATACTCTTTCAAATATTCTAGCAATGAGATAATTACAGAGGGAACAGGCTATATTTTCTCCAGAAACAGAAATACTATCTTAATTTGCTAGAAATGCCTGGGGAAATTGTACTTCATGGAAGTTCACATTTCTCCAAGTGGACCACTGTGGTAAAAGACCATCCTTCCTAGCCCAGAGCTACTGGAAAAGTGCATCTTGTGTATTACATTTCCTCTAGCTCGAGTTTCAAAAATTCTCAAAGGTCAGTTGTCATTATTTAGTTTTACTTTTTCTAAAATCTCTATTCTTGTAGAGTTTGGATTTTTCCTTTTTAAAAATACAGATTAAGTTGAATGAATAGAAAAGCATTTAGTAGTGTTGTCCATACATAAAGATACTTATGAGTCCTATGCTTCCAAAGAACATAGTGGCAATGCTGAACACAACTGCTTTAGCTGCTTGAGTAAGGGTTCCAGTCCTGGGCCTAAGCATGAACTTATATAAGTGATTTTATCTCTGCAGCTCTATTTACTACCCAGAAAATGAGTAACATGTGCTTCATACTATAGGAGCAAAGCGAGCACTGAGGTTTGCAAAGTTTTCTGACATCCTATGATGATATTGGAAAGCTGAAGCTGTGTAATACTATGGAAAAATCTGGAAATCTTGTTGCCCTTCATTATCACAATCATGAAAAACTAATGATAATGTAGTTCCCTATCAAAGTGTTGCTTGCACTGCCTGAGAAAGCGTAAGTCCATGAAGCTGAACAAGTCTTTTTAAAACTGCAACACTTTGACTAGATCCTGTGGAAGATCAATCTTTGACAAAAGCTTTCTTAGCACTAACAGAGAAACCTTGTTAAACAGAGAGAGAGAATATTTTTAATATATTTTGAAGTTTATTTTTCTTAACAATTTTTAGGTCAAAAGTATGGTACATAACCAAGAAGTGCATAGCACTGAATTCATCACTTTGGCTAGCACAGCTCAAAGAGGGGCAAGGAGATTACTTATATACTTGTGGGTAGAGTATGTAACATCTATTTGTAACACCTGTGTAGCAATCTATGTGCAAATAATATCTATAACTTCTTCAACTATGTGTACATACAATATCAAAAAAAATATTCATTTTTTTCTTATATACACTATATAACATGAGAATAAAATCTGGAGTAGTTTGCAGTAACTTAGATGAGACCAGGCTTCCATGACATAGAGCTTTAGAAACATTTCCTCAGCACTTTTTATCTTGGATCATTGTGATAAAAAAGTTGCAGAAAGAAAGCAAGCCTTCTGGACAGTATTCCTCAGCCACCTTTTTCTGATCAATATAATCTATGTCTTCTACGCAGTCTTCAGGGCTGTGTTCTAGCCTTTTTTCAGTCACAGAGACAGATGGTGGAGTCTGAACAACTTCTTTTGCATGATGCATTCTGCTCCCATCTGCAGGACCCACTGATGTTAGCAGGCTTGAGCGGGTCAGCTTGAGATGAGCACTTCGTGGGCCTTTCCTACATACTTTAGATTTTAGGACAGTTTTGGGGTCTTGGCAGATCTGCTTCTGCTTCGTTAGGGATCGGGAGACTTGTTTCCAATAGGATTTCTGGTTTGCTGCATACTGTGCACAGGTGGAAGGGTCTCCAGAGAATTCACACCAGAACTCACTGTCACCATGCTTGCATTCCACACGCACTATAGGAGCATTCATATCAGTCACTGCCCAGGTGCACTCAGCATTTTCTTTGGTTTTAAACCTGCCTTTAGGAGATGATTTCCCTCCTCTTGATTTCTGCCCTTTTTCATTTTCTTGGTTAGATTCAGTTAGTTTTTTTCCACGGTCTTCTATGCCTTGTCTTCTCTTTTTTCTTTCCTTCTCTCTTTCACAGTTGGTTAGTAGCATCTGGGAGACCAGTATCAGCACACAAAGAAGTCCAAAGCTTTTGGTCCTCATGGTCTCTGTTTTGCTTGTTATCTGCCTTCAAAACAAACAAACAAACTCACTTAATGCTGGACTCCATTTGACAGTTGCAGCATTTCAGACATGGTATTACACTACTCTTTGACACCCATTAAAAGGGTGTCACCAGCAAAATCCTCTTTCCTTTATGTGGATAATACCTGGTTTCTACAACCGTTATGTATTATCCTTGAGAACTGTAAATGGCTATGGAGTTAGTCCTTCTGTCCTAATTACTTAATTATCTATGCAATGTGGAACAGAAGAGAGTCATTCTCAGGACATGCTACTGCATGGTGACTAAGGTACCTTGATTAAAATCTCTTCTGCAATCAGAGAAGGAATTTGAACCTGGGCTTTGTCAGTCATCTCGGATGGATATCTTAAGTTACAGCATACAAAGCAGTTGTGGCTCCCATGATTTCCTGTTCTGTAAATGGCACATAAGCGACTTTGACTCCAACCTCTGGTTATTTTTCAAAAATATGCCAGACAGAAAGGAAACTGTTTGGTTCAAGTTAAGCAAAATTATTTCTTAGGCGTCTTGAAAACTGTTTTAATTCCCTGGTGATGCCAGTATTACAGTTTTCTGTTGAAAAAAAAAAATGTAGTCTTTATAGTAGTCTTTGCAGACATTAAATAGTAACTATTGATGCATTTTTTGCCACCTTGACTGCTAAACAAACAGAATTACGTTTTGCTTTTGAAGTACCTGCAGTGTACTGGACTGTGTCTAAATCTACCAAATTCAAGGGATAAATATGCAACATCAGTTTTGAAAGGTGGCTGGTTAGCAAATTATTATCAAGCTGATTCCTGCACATTTATTTGTGTAGGTGTTTCTCTTTACAAAGCAGCTTTCAGGATCAGAGCATAGCATAAGAGTGCCGGGGGGGTAAATCTGGCATTTAGTTGGTTAAATCTGTAAATGTTTTTTTCAGATGTTTCCATCGTAGCCATTTCTGTGGCCAAGATTCCCTGTCAGAAAGCAGAAAATCATGTGCAGGCATGCTAATAAGGAACCTGTCTCAGCATTCCACTATCTGCAAATATCTTCAGTTACAGAAATTTAGAATCTTAGATACATAGGTAGCAGCAAGTGTGAGCAGGTCCTACTCTTGCATTGTTCTTACTTGACTTGCTTCATGCCTTATACTACACAGAGATTTTCTTTCCATTAAAATCCTCTTCAGAGAACATCATGTAGTATTTACAGTTCTGTTGCAATTACAGCAATTAACATCATTAAAATAAATAATGATGTAACAGTAGCCTTCTGTTGCAAGCGGAACAGTGCAGAAGTAAAATAACTAGAAGACATACCTTGCACAGGGCTTGGAGATACCCAAACGCAACTCCTGATGCAACTGCTCTTCTTCAAAAGACTCGAGCTAGTTGTAAAAGCAGCGTGGTATTTATAAGGGCAGAGGCACACCTTCAGGTCTCTGGCAAGTCTATTACAACACAGTAGGATACTTCAGTGCCACGTTCATTTACCTCTGACACACCTGCTTGGGAAAGTGCCAGTTCTTAGCACAAAAAAGACAGCAAAACCAGAAGAGCTCAGGTGGAGTACAAGGTGTGTTTGAGTAATTTGGATGTTGCTTTAGCCAAGTCCTTCCCTCTTCATGAGCAATGATAAGAACTTTATTAGATCATAAGCTTCTCTACAGGAGCTTCTCCCAGCCATTGAGGGATGTATCCTGCAATGCCCTCAACAAGTTGCACCATTATTGCATTTATCAGAATTTGGGTAGTAGAGTTCCGTGATTCTTTGTGAAATTAAAACCATTCCACAACACATTTCAAAACTACCTTTTGAACATTTCGTTACCTCCTGTCACAAACACATTTTGGAGAACATTTAAAAATCAATACAGCTAATAAGTATTCTGCATGAAGGACAGCATTCATTATGGTGAGATGGTTATGAGTGCAAAGCTCAGAAACAAATTCAAGCTACCTCAGAATTAGTGACTCTCTGGGGTCTAAGAGCTGGGATCAACTGCACAGCATTAATTGATCTATGCTCCTCCCTCTCTCTGATGGCTTTTGCATATGGAAACAAGTGGGTTACCTTGTGAGATTTCATTATGGGACCATGTCTAATGCATATTAACCTGAAAAAGATGGTGACAGTGAAAGAACAAGCATTAGACAAGTTGGAAATATTTGTCCCTTAAACAATGGATAAAGCAGCTAGTGCCTTTGTAGCTCAGTTGATGAAGTTGGTTTTACTGGAGAAAAGTAAGTGGGACATTTGTTACATATGCTTGGGAAATACAAGAATAAAAGGTGGAATGCAAGAATCTATAAAAGTAGAAATCAGTGTAAGAGACAGGCGTGTCTTCCTCTTTGACTCTTTCCGATCAGATAGAAATGGAACAAGGCAAAGGGACAAAGCTATAGGCAAGGCATTGTCCAGACCGGTTTGGTGATAAGGAGACTGTTAACTTTGTGTTAAAT